ACCAATGTTGATGACCTGGTTAGTGGGGTAGAAGTGGAAGGATCATGAGGCGCGAGTGATCATGCTCTTCTGAAGTTTACTATACAGTGGAAAGGAGCAGCCAAGCATACTAGGACTCAATTTCTTGACTTTAAGAAAGCCGACTTCATGGACTTCCGGGGTGGCGCCATCGGTAATGGCGGATTCCCTCTGATTCGGAGGGACAGGCTCCACGGAAAACGGGTCTTTCCCGCTATGGGGAAACGGGGACCCTTTGGAAAATCACAGGCGGATGAAGCCTGTGACCATGGGACTCGGCGGGCACCTTTCGCGCCCCCCCAACTCGTAAAGGAACCCAGTCATGGGCTCCGGAGCGAAGAGGGGCAAGTGGCGCAGTGCTGAGAGTCAACTGCTTCTTCTGTGGAGCGAAGCCGCACAGCCGTTGCCGGAGAGCGCTGCCTTTTTCCTGGGACAATTTGGCTATTAAAACAACTACCCGTGAGTAGCTTAATTTTGGACAATTGGACTTTAAACAACGACCTGTGAGTAGAAAGGAAAATTGGACTAAGAAATTCCTTTCAATTTGGCACTGAAACGGGAAGGTCTAAACAGGAAGTCAGCCTTCCGTTTCTTGTAGATAGATTAAACCAAAGACATGGTAAACTAGAGTTCAGAAAATCATCTGTAAAGGATTAACTTTCATCATCTAAAATTGTTGAACCCCTCTCGGAAGCAGGAGAAGAGGGGGGATTTTTTCCGGACTGTTTAAACCTGCAGAAGAGAGTGTAAAGAAAAGTAATTTTCCACCGTCTTGATCCTGGGAGCGGGGTGTCAAGACTGACGTTTTTGGGAAGCTCATTGACTATAGACAAACGTCTTTGACAGACAGTTAAAAGAAGAGAAACATAGTGATTCCATTGTTCTCCTTCGCATTTTAAAGGAACAAATATTGACAAAATATCTGAAAAAGGAAACTTTGTTGTTAGATCTGCCTTTAAAGGAAAAGAAAAAAAAGAAAAGATGGATACAAATAGAAGTTCTTCCCCTAGAGGGAGCCGGTGAAACTGTTACTAAATCCGAAACGGGGAGCTCTGCAGCTGCAACAGATTAAGATCGTGGGAATAGACTTCTGACCTTCATAACAATGTATTCAGAAACTTTGGTGCGTGCTTTCTGTAAAACAAGTGCCCTATTGGAACAGTTACATGAGAAGACGGACTTGATGACTGTTGCGATCAGAAATTTTGGACAGGTTGTGGGTAATTATATAGAATCCACCCAGGAATCAACTCAGGAGTGTGCTCTGACAGACCAGAGGAGGGAAGAGGATGTTGTTGGACCTCGGGTGGCAGAGATGGAGAGAGTTGTGGCCCAGCAGGAACATGAGTTGTTGGATTTGACAAATGAACTAGGAAAAAGCCAGATTTGGAGAGATACAGTTTTGCTTGGTTTGGAAATGGGGGGTTGGATAGACCCCCCTATGCAGGGATGTTTTGACTCTTCAAGTCTGGCAATGGGCCCTGAGATGTTTGGGGATGTGGTGGTTCTTAATTCTGGAGGAACTTTGAAATATGTTCTTAAATACCACATGGAGTTTAGTGTGGAATATGGAAAAGGGGCTGATTTGTCGAGAAGGGACAAAAATATTGTCAAGTTGGAGTTTCCATGAGTAAAAGGAGCAGGAGACAAAGCAAAGTACAGGTATAAATATGAAGAAGAGCTGCGGAAGGGACATGGAAGAGACTTAAGGGCCTCGGACATAAGATTACCAGGTAAATGAGCTAGATTGATGGGATAGAAAGGATTGACAAAACCTGGGACCAGGAGGAAGAGACGTTGGATGAAGATTGGAAGAAAGTTTTTTTTTAAAAAATTTTAGGATTGTTTTATAAAATTGATGAATGTTAGAAAAATGTTGGAACAAAATTATTTGACTTTAGCAGAAATGTTAAAAGAATTATGTAAGAATATGTTATGGTTATGAGAAATTGGTATAAATAAGATCTAAGTTTTAAGTTTTAGGGTCTTTTATAGTAAGATAAGGTTAAAATAGATTAAGGTAATTTAAGGACAGAATACTATGAAAAAGGGAAAGGATTTGCTGTGATAATTAACAATTAGAATACAAAAAAAGGGAGGAGTGAGGAGGTCGATGAAATAAGGTAATGACAGTTAAGGATTTGGGAATATTGGATTTGTTTTTAAATTTTTGTGGCTTATTTTTGCTTTTTGATTGTGTTGTGTTATGTGTTTTGTTGTTATTTTTTGATTTTGATCTTTATTAATTCGTATTGTTTAATTGTGGATTGTGGCTTGTTTTTCTTTTGCTTGTTTTTTTTGTTTTGTTTTTTTTTACTTCTTTTTCTCTTTGTCTTTTCTGTAACTTTAAAATTCTTAATAAATATCATTTAAAAAAAAGAAAAAAGAAAGAAAGCCGACTTCATAAAACTTAGGGAAGTGCTGGGTGAGATCCCATGGACAGTAATACTAAAAGGAAAGGGAGTTCATGATGGCTGGGAGTTTGTTAAGAGGGAGATAGTAAAAGCACAACTTCAGGCAATACCAATGAGACAGAAACATGGAAGGTGCCTAAAGAAGCCAGGGTGGCTATCTAAAGAACTTTTAACTGAGTTAAGATTAAAAAAGGATGTGTACAAAAAATGGAAAAGGGGGGAAACCACCAAAGAGGAATTCAAACAAACAGCCAGCACGTGTAGACACAAAGTCAGAAAAGCTAAAGCACAGAATGAACTCAGGCTTGCTAGAGAGGTTAAAAGCAACAAAAAAGGCTTTGATGGGTATGTCCGTAGCAAAAGGAAGAACAAAGAAACAGTGGGGTCACTCAGAGGAGAAGATGGTGAAATGCAAACAGGGGACACAGAAAGGGCTGAACTCCTCAATGCCTTCTTTGCCTCAGTCTTCTCTGATAAAGAAAACAATGCCCAACCTGAAGAATTTGGAGCAAATGATTCAGCAGAGGAAACACAGCCCAGAATAACTAAGGAGATAGTACAAGAATACTTGGCTAGTTTAGATGTATTCAAGTCTCCAGGGCCAGATGAACTGCATCCAAGAGTATTAAAAGAACTGGCAGATGTGATCTCAAAACCACTGGCAGTCATTCCTGGAGAACAGGCGAAGTCCCGGCAGACTGGAGGAGGGCAAATGTTGTCCCTATTTTCAAAAAGGGGAAAAGAGAGGACCCAAATAATTACCGCCCAGTCAGTCTGACATCAATACCAGGGAAGATTCTGGAGCAGATCATTAAGCAAACAGTCTGTGAGCACCTAGAAAGGAATGTTGTGATCACCAATAGTCAGCATGGATTTCTGAAAAATAAGTCATGTCAGACTAACCTGATCTCGTTTTTTGACAGAATTACAAGCCTGGTAGATGAAGGGAACGCAGTGGATGTAGCCTACCTTGATTTCAGCAAGGCATTTGACAAGGTGCCCCATGATATTCTTGTAAAGAAGCTGGTAAAATGCGGTCTTGACTATGCTACCACTCAGTGGATTTGTAACTGGCTGACTGACCGAACCCAAAGGGTGTTCATCAATGGTTCCTCTTCATCCTGGAGAAGAGTGACTAGTGGGGTGCCACAGGGTTCTGTCTTGGGCCCGGTCTTATTCAACATCTTTATCAACGACTTGGATGATGGACTCAAGGGCATCCTGATCAAATTTGCAGATGACACCAAACTGGGAGGGGTGGCTAACACCCCAGAGGACAGGATCACACTTCAAAATGACCTTGACAGATTAGAGAACTGGGCCAAAACAAACAAGATGAATTTTAACAGGGAGAAATGTAAAGTATCGCACTTGGGCAAAAAAAATGAGAGGCACAAATACAAGATGGGTGACACCTGGCTTGAGAGCAGTACATGTGAGAAGGATCTAGGAGTCTTGGTTGACCACAAACTTGACATGAGCCAACAGTGTGACGCGGCAGCTAAAAAAGCCAATGCAATTCTGGGCTGCATCAATAGGAGTATAGCATCTAGATCAAGGGAAGTAATAGTGCCACTGTATTCTGCTCTGGTCAGACCTCACCTGGAGTACTGTGTCCAGTTCTGGGCACCACAGTTCAAGAAGGACACTGACAAACTGGAACGTGTCCAGAGGAGGGCAACCAAAATGGTCAAAGGCCTGGAAACGATGCCTTATGAGGAACGGCTAAGGGAGCTGGGCATGTTTAGCCTGGAGAAGAGGAGGTTAAGGGGCGATATGATAGCCATGTTCAAATATATAAAAGGATGTCACATAGAGGAGGGAGAAAGGTTGTTTTCTGCTGCTCCAGAGAAGCGGACACGGAGCAATGGATCCAAACTACAAGAAAGAAGATTCCACCTAAACATTAGGAAGAACTTCCTGACAGTAAGAGCTATTCGACAGTGGAATTTGCTGCCACGGAGTGTGGTGGTGTCTCCTTCTTTGGAGGTCTTTAAGCAGAGGCTTGACAACCATATGTCAGGAGTGCTCTGATGGTGTTTCCTGCTTGGCAGGGGGTTCGACTCGATGGCCCTTGTGGTCTCTTCCAACTCTATGATTCTATGATTCTGTCATTCTATGATTCTACTAGCTTATAAGTCCCATGCGATGGACAGAAACTCAGAAGCTTTCAGATCCTTAATTTCTGCAGCTCTTCTAAATTTACAGAGTTCTATGTCACACTTCTTTATAGCAATGCAGAGCAGGCTCCGAGTTAAGATTTGCCCAAGCCCAACACCAGCATTTCAGAGACAAGTGCTAAATCGAGGTGCTCCAAAGTTCATCCTCTTATAAGGACACATGTTCTAGATAAGGTATGTAACACAGAGCACCTGATCAATTGCATAGTTGCTGCCATTATTATCATGCACATTTACCGTATTTTTTGCACCATAACACTCACTTTTTTCCTCCTAGAAAGTAAGGGGAAATGTCTGTGCGTGTTATGGAGGGAATGCTTACGGGTGGGGATCTCCTGCAGTCGTGAGCAGAGGATCCATGGTTCCCCTTCCTTCCCTCCTCCGTGGCTCGCTTTGAAACAGCAAAGCGGGAGAAGAGCCACTGAGTGGGGAGGAGAGAGGGACAGAGAGCCTGCTTGCTTTAAAGGAGCAAAGCGGGAGAGGAGAGGTTGGCTCCTTTAAAGCAAGCAGGCTCTCTGTCCCTCTCTCCTCCCCACACAGCTTGCTACATAGCAGCAAAGTTTTTCAGCTTGCTAAGCCGGGGATGAGCGGGGAGGAGGGAGAAAAGCAGAGCCTGCTTGCTTTAAAGGAGCAAAGCGGGAGAGGAGAGGAGCCTTCTCCCCTTAAACCCCTCTTCTGCATTATTAGCAGCATCCTTCTCCACACACCCCACGCGTGCTTCTTCTCCCCTTAAACCCCTCTTCTGCATTATTAGCAGCATCCTTCTCCACACACCCCACGCGTGCTCCTTGTCCCTTGAGTGCTTTTCCTTCCCTCCCCACTTAAAACGTGGTTACAAAGCACGGATCCACATGGATCCTCAGGATTTTTGCATTGGGCTACTCCAAACTCACTGTCAGATCACATGTCTGTGGCCACAGCATGAACCACAAAAATCATACATCCACTGTTTCGTTTAGAATTTTTCGTTTTTTTCTTGTTTTCCTCCTCTAAAAACTACGTGCGTGTTATGGTTGGGTGCGTGTTATAGAGCGAAAAATACTGTACTTTAGGAGGAAGGCAGACCTTTTGTGTAGCTAGGATGAAGCTCTGGGGGCTCACTGCAGTCTCCAGGAAGGACCATCTCTGTGGAGCATGTTCTGCAGATGGAACCTATCTCTCTGCTCCCACCTAGTGGGGGCAAATGCTATTCCAAAAGCAATGTACAATGCAGATTCTCCATGACAAAGTTCAAACCCAGCTCAGTCTACAGGAACCTCATTGTATACACCCTTTGGGGATTTTGTGGTTGACCTTTAGCATTGCAACCTATGAATTTGGGTCTTTCCTATTGAAGTATTATTTTAGTGGTGGGGTATCGAATTTGCTTACAGGCAGAAGATCCCTGGTTCCCACCTCCAGCATCTCTAGGTAGGACTGGGAAGATCCCTGTCTGAAACCCTGCCTGAAACCCCGGAGAGCCTCTTCCAAACCACATAGACAGTGCTGATCAAGGTCGGCCAATGGTCTCATTCAGTACAGTGCAGTTTTCTACGTTCCAGTTAGAAGCATTTAAAAAAATTGGCTATGCCTGAGTTGCTGGAATATGATGTACGGAAGACCATACTCCAAGTTCACAATCTGGGTAGGGAGTTTGAAAGCCTACACAAACACTTTTTTAAAAAAACAACTTTTATTATAACTGAGGGAAGGAATAACTTTTCTCCAGCATACAATAACCTTGCAAGGCTCTATTCCTATTCCTGGTAAAATGAGCCTACCTTTTAGTCAGTTGATGTAGAATGCTATGGTGTTGCCCAGGTGTTCCTGTGAGGCAACACTCTCATGCAGCTCCTTGGCCTTGACTTCCCTCAAACAAATTCTCTCCCCATTATCTCCTTTTTAAAAACAAACAATCACAAAAACAAGAATCCTGTACAGTGGTACCTCGGGTTACAGACGCTTCAGGTTACAGACACTCCGGGTTACAGACTCCGCTAACCCAGAAATAGTACCTCAGGTTAAGAACTTTGCTTCAGGATGAGAACAGAAATCGCGCTCTGGTGGCGCGGCGGCAGCAAGAGCCCCCATTAGCTAAAGTGGTACGTCAGGTTAAGAACAGTTTCAGGTTAAGAACGGACCTCCAGAACAAATTAAGTTCTTAACCTGAGGTACCACTGTAGATTTCTTTCTATTAGCTTTTTCAAAAAGGCAAAGTGATTTCAGAAGTAAACAATAAATCTGTGTAAATTTACAGCAGGATCACCTATGTCTTTTAGACCTGAATTACAGACAGGATTTCAGTAGCTAAAACTTTCCCCATCTTGATACCAGGGAGAAAAAACCAACTGCAGCTAATGCAATTCCCAGCTGTAATGCAACTATGAGAGACACAAGAGCCCTGCCTGGAAATAAGTTGGCAATTCTAAACTTTACTTCACCTTATTTTTTCTCCTGCTCCCTTCATCCTCATTTGTCATTTTATTGTTATAAAGTGTCCCTCTATAAATGAATTCACATCTCAATCTGCCAAGCAAACGGAGCCAGCAGTATTTGCTCATGTAAAGACTTCTACAGGCAAAATGTTAGTAACCTTATTACAATTATTTGCCTTGTTCAAGTTGAAACCTGTAAGAGGTGCTACAGAATCAGCTACATTGAAGCTAGATCATGGGCACACTGGAGTCCTCCACTGAACATGACAATTGCCACCTGCTTACAGGCAGGGAGAAGACGCAAAGGAAGCCAAGCGGAGGGAGGGGAGGATGAGGACACCAAGGAACCAAAGAGAGAAAGGTAGATAAAGTAACAGCAAGACTAGAGAAGATGTATAAAATGTGGGAGAATGTAGCCAAGCCTAACAATGCTAGTTAGTATGTGAAGGGGTTAAGTACCACAGAGTTCTAAATGACTAGACTCTGCGATGTCACATCCCCTCTTCTCCAAGGAGGGAGGAAGTAACACTTGTTTCCTGTTCCTCTCTTTCTGCTCAGGATAGAGGCAGACATGCCTTAACTGAGCTCTCTGCATCAGATATGTCTCTGAGGCTGCTTTGCTGTATTTTTACAACTAAGAACATTTACCGGCATTTTATCATTGCTGCTAAGGCAAATGCAAATATGAGACCTAGAAACTGTAAGTAAAGCATTTAAACTTACCTTGCAGTCTGTGGTCTGTTTTATTGAAAAAGTGGGGAAAGGGGCCAGCTGCCTTAAGGAGCTTTACTCAGGCTCTGCACTCCTAGTAGGGGTGAGGGCCACAAACAGACAGGTCTCCATCCACAATAAGACCCAAGTCGTGCAGTTGCCTCTTTGGTCCCTCCCCTTCAGCAGAACTGCCTGCATCTACTCCTATGCACATTCCACCTTTTCTCCATGACTGTGGTACGGTGGCAACACTGTGGCAAGGAAACAGGCAGGCTGTGTGCTCATAAGAGCCTGTGAAGGTACTGTGAAGGAATGAACTTTTTATGCCAAGAGAAATCAACAGAGCCCTATAGTACATCTTTTGAAAGATCCTAATTCTATCTCATGGGATAGCAATCCCCAAATTTGTCTGGAATCTGATTTACTGTACTGGAAATTAAGTGCTGCACCCCAGTGATCTAGTACATGCTCAGTATAGCTGGCTCTTTTGGAGAGACAAAAGAGGTTGTTATGCAACGGATTTCGATGATGGACATGTCAATTTGGAAGGGATCCAGCATAGCCTCCTTGGGTGCCCAAGTAGGGAGTGCTGCCTTCTTGCAAAGCAGCTAGTCAGCCTGCAGTACACAAGAATTGGGCACACTGGGAGAGTCATTGGCACATGGAATCCAGTGCCAATAAAGTGCATGGTCATGCTGTGCTAAGGCATTCAACTTCCTGTTGGGAATGCATGCCCCCGGGTTTACTTTTGATGATGGGAGATGAAAAGCATAACTAAGCCCTAGAACCAGCTTTTCTTCCAGATCCTGTTGCTAAGGTCTTGGATGATGTCACCTCTCAAAGGTCTCGTGGTGCTGGGTGTGTTTTCTTAAGCACATATTACAGGCAAATCACGAGACACTTGCTTTAAAGAGGTCATTCAAAGGGGGTCAAATCAGAAGTGATAAGCTTGCAACCAGAACCTCATATCTTACAATCAGACATTGTAAACACGGATGCCTGGATCCAATGGGAAAGAAATTGGTACACAAAGAGGCATTCCATGTGCATGTCCCTCAGATGCAATGCCTGAACCCAGGAGCAATGCACTGCCCCAGTCTGCCTGCCTTTAAAAGCATTAATCATTTGCAGGGAAGCAGAGAATGGGCTGGATTCAGGCCTCTGCTAGCCCTCCATGCTCCCCTTGAGCAGATGATCAGCACTCCTGAAGGCAATTTGAGTGTGGTTGCAGGCATGTGTGTTTCTTCTGAGTGCACAGCTCCTGTTTGCACGAGTTTTTCCTCCTATTGATTCAGGATAAAATCTGAAAGCAGGCGATTTGCTTTTCCCATGCGAAGGAAGGAGCTGCAGGTGCCCCCTTCCATTGTGAAAGGGTCACACACGCAAGCACCCAAACACATGTACTGCGAGAAATGTCATTATTCTTCAAAGGAGTGAGTTTAATTGAGCTTCATTACTTTACTGCCCCTCACTTCCCTCTACAGCACGTGAAAAAAACTGCCTTCTTGAGTGTTGGGTCAACCATTGGTCTCATCCGCTCAATCTATGGGAGCCTGTCTTTGCATGCAGGGGAAGTCCCTAACTCACTAAGGGTTTGAGTCCTGTTTGGTACCGTCACCTGGTTTAGGTGCCCGTTGAAGCCATTTCCCAGAGAGTGGCTGCTGTTGCATACTGGCAGCTTCTAGGAGCTGCAGGTGAGAACTGAATGTGGACCAAAGGTGGACAAACCACCCCAGAAGGAGCCCGACGTGTCCCCCACCAGAGGTTGTTGTTGTTTAGTCGTGTCCGACTCTTCGTGACCCCATGGACCAAGGCACGCCAGGCACCAGAGGTACTACCCCCCAACACCCCATATACCCCTTAAACAAAGCAGTAGCAAACAATCTGCTTCTTTCCATGGAGGGAGTGACTGTGCACTGTTCCTCCATGTGTTCTATCTCTGATGTTGCAAAAACAAAGAACAGAGAAATAATCTGAGGCATGGACGTTTCATCAGCAGACCAATGCGTAGAAGAGGTGCCCTGGTGTTCACCTACAGAGAGGGTGGGATTTCCCCCCAGAGAATCCTGGGGATCCTGGGTAGTTTGTTAAAGATCTGGGGATTGTATCTCAGTTCCCAGGATGCTTTGGGGGAACCAATGTGTTTTAAATGTATGGTGTGTGTGCAGCCACAGCCTTCCTGTGTGGGCTTTATGAACCAGTGATGGTGTACCGTGACTGGGTGTGGATGGGGTGGTCATAACTGGGAGTGGGGAGCTGCTTTTTAATTGACTCCCCCCACATTGAACTCACTATGGAGACAGATGTGGTTTAACATTGTGCCATCACTGTGGGTGTGGCCAGTGCTTGAGGGAGAAACTAATCTTCAGATAAAACCTTGGAATCAAGGTTTGCCTGTGGTAGAGTTTCTAGATTGACTTCTTCCCCCTCCCCTCCT